TCAGAATTCCCGATCTCGCTTCATACTGCTCAACATGGGATTTCACGGTCTCAAATCTCGCAATGACATCGTCATGATCCCGATGTTGGCGTTGAACTCCGCGAGATAGATCCTGGACCTTTCGATTGACCTCGTCAATTGCTTCATGCCAGTCCTGCGGGGAAACAGGCCCTGATGGTATATCGACCGCCTGGGACCCCTCCCACTTTGCAGCCTCGACATTCGATCAGCAAGAATGATTTGTTCTTCATTAATACCACCAATAGATTCGGAGGCCCACTTAGCAAACTTCTCGTGTTCAAGAAGAACCTTCTCGAGCTTCAGGTTTAACTCCCTGAAACTCGCGTTCGCTCCACTGCTGGTAGCCCTATCGGGCAATTGCGCAGCAGGACTCAAAATCCATTCACCTGCTGGCGTCCGCATCCCAACGGTTTTCTCTACCGAGAACATCCGTCCCTCGAGCTTGTCTAAGTCCTTAAGGATCTCATCCTCGGAAGCAGCATGGCTCCTGCGGGTGGCCTCACGATTCTCTTGAATCATCTGACGAAGCTGATCAGTTGCGATCTCATTGTCCTTAACAGATTCATGAACCTCGTGGGAAAGCAAATTGATCCTCTGATCCACGACTTCAGCCTGTTCATCGATGGCTTGCCTCACAATGGCCCTGCTATCCGGGACGATCTCACTGGCGAACCGCTGAACTATCATTCGCATCCTACCGGCATCAGATTGAGTCGCAATCTCAGTCGCCAAACGATTGACCTTGTCTTTCGTCTGCTGATTCTCGTCGCTCCACTCCTTTCGCATGGAACCCACCTGACCGTTCAGTATCCTGATATGGTCAGCAAAGATGTGGAACGCTTTTGCGACTGAACTAGACACCTCACCCCGCTCGAGCATTTCCTGGATGTGCAGATCAAACACCTCCTTTGCCCTGGCGTCACCTGACTCACCGGGAGAATGGGACCTGTGTGCTGGAGGAGTCGATATCTCGATCCTCTCAGGAGCCCCACTAACTCTAGCAAATCTTCTGGGGTCGCCTACAGGACCTTCACCTATCCTGGATGGCCTGCTAGGGGTAGATCCCCTTCTCCGGCTATCGCCAGATCGGGGATCAATGTTGGATGCACGAGACTCGGGAGTAGAGTGAATGTGAACATCAGCAGGATCAGGCATCTCCTCATCCTGCGGAGTTGAACCCATTGGTGAGGGGCTAGCCCTCCTCGCCTTTGACCTATCGGTCTCAATGGCCAGGGGTGACGGCCTCTTCGCAGAAGCACTACGTTCCCTGGCGGTCGATCCCCATTGAGGGGTGAACTCGTTGCTAGACCTTAGTGTTTCTAGGTCACTGGGATCTCGCCCTAACGGGCTAGCGATCGACGGACGATCCTCGATTCCGAGCGCATCGGCTAGCCGACCATCTTTCACACCTGCCCCAACGGCATCGGCAGCCCGCTCAGCGATTCTCGGTGAACCAGTAACCCGGTTCGAGTTCTCGTCTCTCTGATTCAACGAACCTCCAAATGTAATGTTGGGAAACCTGCAGAACCAGAAGTTGTGTAAAGCGCATGTTCGCACGCTGAAGAGCACGGATGTGGCTTTTTGACACATTCATGGTTTTTGTTGTCGTGCGGGTGAAGCACATCTGACGACACGTCCTATTGTAGAAAACCCAGCTCCGCTACCACATGTGGATTGATGATAGTGATGATAGGGGCAAGGATCGACCCCAAGCAATAACCGTACACGTTGGTTCCTTTGTGGAAGAGAAAGGACTATCATGAACACTTACCCAGGAAATAAGCTCAGGTGATACCTCAAAACCACCCCGGACCACCCCGCAGCCCTTGTCAGAACTGGTGAAACCCTGGCGGAACCATGGTGGAACCTTGGTGGAACCCTGATGGAACCTGGTGGAACCCTGGTGGAACCCTTGTACCTTTCCCCAGACCCGCCTCGGACCACCCCGGAGCCTATCTGGGCTGAGACCCCAAAGCTTTCAGCTGTTGGGGAAAAATGGTTGACGAAAGACCGGCTTGGGGGAAACAGTTTTGCCCTTAAAGATACCCCTTCCCTATCGTTTAACCTTATCTGCTTGAATCCCAATGAAAAATAGGCAAAGTTTGAAGCGACCGAAGCTTGTCGAAGCATCTACCCACGAAGAACGGGTTTGCAAAACCCAAGACAGGGGGGCTTAAAGTTGCACTGTTGAAAGCACTTCCCACGAAAACAATCCATTTGCAGGGGCCAAGATTGGGGCCATCGTTTACCCAAGTCGCAGACGCTGGCAGATCAATCTGAAAGGCTCAAGGCTCGAAGCAAAAGATTGCACAGGTGTTACTTTGCAAAGTCAAAGCCAGTCAGGGCAAAGCAGTGTTGAAATGCACGGGCGGCTGCGCGCTGCATTTGTGGCACGCTGGGCGGGGCTACGGGCCGGGACCCTTAGCTGCAGAACTCCAAAAAGGCTCGGTACCGAAAGAGACAAACCTTGTCCATTGTGGACGGATGACACCGACTGCAAATCTTGGATATGTGTTTCATATAATCCTCTTCCATGTAAAGGTGCTCGTACCTAGGGTTACGCCTTGTGCTGCGCACCGCTAGGCACATGTGAAGCAGGCTGTGAAACTTCGGAACAAGTTTGTACATCTTTCTCGAAGGAAAAGCAGCTCGACCCTCCACTGTTGATTTTTGGTAGAGAAGAAGGAAGGTCCTCCCGAAATAGCAAACCTCCTCGGCTGTCTCAGGGGTGAACCACGGGCCGTTGCAGTCTTGCAGAAACTGGAATTGGGCAAGCGCGAAAGCAGTGTAGGCTCGCAAGCGGGATTGCGGAGTGTCATTCTCTCGCGTGCATTCAAACAAAAATGTGGCAGCCCAATAGATCATGTGTTTCACCATTGCGCCCTTGTAGCAAGAAGCGAGCTCCGGGTAAGTCTGCCAGGATTCCCTTCCAAACTTCACGCATGTAAATGTGCTGCTGCTGCGCGGCAATCTCCGATTGCGGCACCAGTCTTTGTAATGAGAAAAAGCTTCTGTCTGAAGCAGCTGGGAGAGGCCTTCCAAGGTGAGGCCAGGCACAGCGTCCTCATAGTGGTGAGTCACTAAGGAAGCAATCGCAATTGGAGCAACTCCTTGATGAACACAATGAAGCATGTCCTTAGAAATTACCAGGGCTAGCCCAGAAATGACACACACACACAGGCTGCGAACGCAGTTATTTATGCGATAAGTGGTTAAGAAAAACATATGCCACGCGATGAGACTAGGGTCTTCAACGTTGCGATCTTTGTGCCACCCCCTCACCTTGATCCAGGAGCTCTGCTTTGTAGGGGGGTTCAACATCAGGAACTCCCTGTGAGACAGCATGCATTCAAAGTAGGCAGCGTTGTTGCTAAAGTCCCCGTACCCAAAAGCTGGAAGTTTCGAGGCCAAACAATGTTCACAGATTGAGTGCGATGACCAGTTTCGAACATACTTGTGAACCATAACACGTGCTTCGAGGTCCGCTTTGAACGCGGAGAAGGCGAAGCGCCATCCTCCTGCGATTGCTTGGCCAGCACGGGCTGCCCCCTTGCTACTCGGCTCAAAGGGGCGCCCGTCAAAATCCACTGAAGGGAAAACTCCGGATTGCAAAACTCGCATAGCGTAGGCAATGTAATCGGCCACGTCGTCGTGGGTGAACGGCTTGTGCATTTGGGAATCCCGGAAAAGTAAGAACAGCAACTTTGTTTGCAAACTGGGGCCCTTTCGAATACTGCTGGAAAAGGAATACACCCAGGCCTTCTGGGTCTTGTACACTTTTACCCCGTCGACGTGCCAAGAAATTGGTATTGTAGAAGCAGGGTCTGTTAGGCCAAGATCCTCGTAGAAGGGCATGTGGGACAAATTCTCCCAATACTCCTTGATTCTTGAATTTGCTTCTCTTGGGGGATCATGAACCCATTCTGCGAAAGCTTGGTCACCCTTTGATTGCCAGAGCCAATGCAGAATATCCCATGGCCAAATGACACCAATATCATTCTTGCCGCCAGCCAGAGAGAGTGGGGCGACAGCAGGTTGAATTTCGCAATTCATGCGACACCACCTGACGAAGCATCAGCTCAACTTTGAAAATGATATTTACCCTGAAATCAAAAACAAAACATCATTGCTAGTGACGAGGAAGAGTCTGCTGAAAAGACCGTTCGCCGTGGCTTGTTGAACCCCAAGAAGCTAGAAGCTGCGCCAGAGGGCATATATAGCCATCTTTCAGAAGTTGAGCAGCTTCATTGCAGCCATCACTCACTGATGTCGCCTTGCAGGGCGGCTGGTGGGTAAAGGGGGGGGTCGGAACACATGTCTCCGTGTCCTCGCAAAAGGGTGCAAGTGTTTGCTTTGTGACTTGTTCGAAAAGAGCGAGCGGGATTTGACAGCACGGAGCCAACTATCTTGGCGTCACGTGTTGGCATCTCAAAGTGGAACTCTTTTGGAACCCTGGCCCCTGTGCACATCTTCTTGAAAATCCTTTTGGCAGAGCCGCTTCCAGCATCAACGAGCTCCCTACCTGGCACGCAGAGAACAGTTTCGATTGTTAACGCGAAACGAATGACCTGCCTCGAAGATGGCGAGGGGGACGGAGACGAGATCCTAGCGGTGGCTTTTCAATTGCTGTCAGGTTGGAGAACTCGCTCCATGCCTCCTCGCGCTGGTCTGGCTCTTGACCGGGATCGGGATCGCGAGCGAGATCTTGGAGCGTCCCTGCGAAGGGGAGGCGAGCTGGAAAGCTTGCTTGTCGGGTGGATGGTCACTGCAAACTTTCACACTCTTTTTCGGCCCGTGGTTCTCTTGCAATTGAGAGTCGAGTGACAGCCAACTGGGCGCTGAGCCTTCACTGCAACCCCTCAACCAAACTATTTGCATGTTTCAAGACTATGGTTTCAACAAAACGCAGTGAAGGTAGACCCCAAATCTGAAGCGCCTTTAAACTGACCACATCTATCGACATCGCTGCCTCGAGCCACTTAGGCTGGCTCGCCTGTGGCATTCTTTGCTGGTTTGGCAGCAGGCTTAGCCTTGGGGTTCGCAGCCTTCTCGGCCGCCCGCACCAAAGCCTTGCCCAGCTCTATTCGCTCACGAGCCATCCGCGAATACTTGTCAACCTGGCAAAGCCGAGCGCTGGCAAAAACACATTCCATGTCAAATCAAGGCCTCCGTAAAAATGGTAACGTAGTAGCGGTTCTTGTCCTTGCCCTTCTTGATGTTTTCTTGAAGCTGATTTGCCAGGGATTCCAATTTCACCCCAACAGCCAAGAGCTGGCTGATCAAATCTGAGCTCATTTTCAGCGGCTGTAGCCGGAATGCGTGGTTCCTAGGCGGGAAGCGGCTTTCATTGGCGCCAACGACAAGAACAACAAGGACCTGGGTGGCTGACCTACACTCGTTGACGATCTTAAGCACGCCAGTCAGCAGGGCTTGCGCTTTAGACAGTGGAGTCTCTGGGATCACCTGGCTGGGCGGGGCAATCCTTGCGGACCTGAAAACACAAAAAACGCACCTGTTTTGGGACAGATCCGCTCTCCCCTTTTTCCTTTTTCGGCTTTCCCCCTTTGCCCTGCTTTGCGTCCACTTGCCCCGATCCGGCTGCGTTGGCCAACTTCTCAGCCCCAGCCCTCCCTGTGAAGTCCACAATCTTCAACTGCGCCGCAGGATCCAGCACTCCGCCGCCCTGTCGAGGAGCGTGCGGAGCCAGAGATTGGTGTGGTAAACCTCCCTATTTCTGCACACAGGTAAACCAATTTTTTTGAGTTGGCCTACAGAAAAGCCAGCCGTTTTCAGGTGCGCAGAAAACCCTCTTTGGTTTTTTCAAAGTAAACCCTCCTTGTGCGGATTGTGTTTCCAGCGCAAAGAGAAAATACTCCTCAGACGTATTTTTCAAAGCAAGCCGATTGGGTTTAAAGGGCCATTTTGGAATTTCCTGTTTTGGCAAAAACGCCTTGTCAAGGTAAGTGCTCCTTCTTGAGGTGGTCTGTAGGGAAACCAAACCATCTGTTTTTGTTTCCCCCATGTCGGCACACACACACACGCGCAAATCCTCGTTTCGTGGGACGGGTTAAGGGGGAACCAAGCCATCGTTTTTGGGCTCCCCTTGTTTGACATGCAACTGTTTCAAGGCGCGCCCTCCTTTTGTTAAAGGGACCAAACCGTCATTTCAGGCTTTCCTTTTCTTCTCAAAGTATCGGGGTGGGTCAAAAAAAGGGAAACCAAGCCATCATTTTCGGGGTCCGGGGGGAAGGGGTTGAAGGTTCGTGTCTCTAGAGCCGAATCTGTTGCGGCGCAGTTGGAACTCTTAAGCCGTGCCTTTGTGAATTCTTTCAAACCTTCTTTGTCGATGCAGCCCTCCATCTCCAGCTGCGTGATGCGCTTGAGTTCTGTGATGCTGGAAACATCGCAGTTGATCATTGTGAAAAACAGTCTTTCTTCTTTGTCATCCGGCAGCTCGGGGTCGGCAACTGTCCTTGGCCGCTGCTCAGGAAAGGGCGCCCAACCACGCACACGCAGTGAGGCAGGGTGGGTGGGCAAAGAAAGTGCTGACAAGACTCAGACCCAACTCCCGTTTCCGAGTCATCAACTTATCAGCCTTCTTGGGACCGTGACGGTCTTGCAACCACTTTTCACCTCGGAATCCCCATTTGATTTCCGTTTTTTGGCTCTCTTCTAGCCGTTGCTCAAATCGAAGCGCAACCTGGGCGACATCCCCGCCGCATTCCACATAGTCCCTGAAAGCCGTGCTCCGGCTAGCCTGGCAGCTTTGCGGGGCAATCCGGAAAGGGAGTGGCCTTTTCACATTTCCTGCTTGGAGCAAAGGGTGGTCCAGGAAAAGTGCCCTTTTTCAGGCTCTGCTTTGACTGACAGGGATCCAACTGTGCACTCGTCCAGAGGGGAAGAGTCTTTTTACGATTCGTTTTCGAAACAAAGCCCAGTCCTCGTTCTGCATAGCTGCCTGCATCTTTGCTGGCAGCCTCTTTCGGTTGTGAAGCCATCGTTGGAACGCGGCGTACTCCTTTCGGTGGGTGCAAGAATTGATCTTGGCTTCTGCGGATTCAAGCTTCTTGTGTCCGGTATGCTTCTGCTTTTCCTCATGCTGCTGCTTCTTCTGCTTCAGCTGCTTCTGCTCTGCCTCTGCTGCTGATCCTCCCTCATCTTTTCCCTCACGCTTCTGCTTCTTCTGCTTTGGCTGCTTCTGCTCTTCTGCCGATCCTCCCTCCTCCTTTTCTTCCTCCTCCACCTCCAACTCCTCCTCCAACTCCTCCACAGACTCCACAGAATCCTCTTCCTCAAGTTCTGCTGCGTCCTTTTCATCGTTGCTGCCTGTGGTTTCCTCATCGCTGCTAGTTTCTTCTTCCTGTTCTTGGTCACGCGCGGTTTCCTCCTCAGCTTCTTCGTTTTCACTTGCGCTTTTCTGATCGCTTTCTCCGCCGCTCTCTTCTGCGGCTCCTCCATCTTCCGTTTGCTTTTCGTCCTTCCGGCTAAGGTAATCCCAAATAGACCCCGGCGCCAGCCAGCGCCTGATATCAGTTTTGGGGTAGCTGTTTCTTCTAGGGGGAAGACCGCCGACAATCACCCTGCTTGCCTCTGAGGTGGATGTGGATGCGCTGCTATCTCCCTCCTCTCCCTCCTCAGCTCTCACTTTCTTCTTTGTCACTGGCGTTGTGTCCTTCTCTTGCTCGTGCTTGCGTTTCTCTGGCTTGCTTGCTTTGCTCGTGCCAGCCTTCTCCTTTTTCGTCTTCTTCGCTGCTTTCTTTTGCTCCTCCTGCTCCTCCTGCTCTTCTTTATCCTTCTTTTCTTTCTCTGCTGTCTCCTTCTCCTTCTTCTCCTGCATTGCTTTCTCCTTCTTCTCGTTCTCTGCTCTCTCCTTCTCCCTCCTCTCTGCTTTTTTCTCCTTCTCCTTTTTCGCTGCCTTCTCTTTCCTCTCCTTCTCCGCTTTCTCCTTTTCATCTTTCTCCTTCTTGGCGGCTGCCTCCATCTTCTCCTTCTCTGCTGCTTCCTTTTTCTTCTGCATCCCTTTCTCCGTCTTCTCGTTCTCTGCTCTCTCCTTCTCCCTCCACTCTGCCTTCTTCTCCTTCTCCTTATTCGCTGCCTTCTCTTTCTTCTCCTTATCCGCTTTCTCCTTTTTGTCTTTCTCCTTCTTTGCGGCTGCCTCAATCTTCTCCTTTTCTGCCTTCTCCGTATCCTTCTCTGCTTTCTCCTTCTGCTTCCTTTCTGCTTTGTCCTTCTCCTTCTTCACTGCTTTCTCCTTCTCCTTTACCTCCTTCTCTGCCTTCTCCTGCTCCTTCCTCACTGTTTTCGCCTTCTCCTTTGCCTCCTTCTTTGCCTTCTCCTTCTCCTTCTTCTCTGCTTTCTTCATCTCCTGGCTCGTTGCTTCGTCCGTCTCCTTGTTCTCCTCAGCCTTCTGCTGTTCGGCCTTATCCTTCTCCTTTTCTGCATTTTGCTTCTTCTCCTTTTCAGCCTTTTCCTTCTCCAGTTGTTCTGCTTTTTCCTTCTCCTTCCTATCATTCTCTGCTTTCTCCTTCTCCTCATTTTCCGCTTCTTGCTTCTCCTTCTCTGCTTTCTCCTTCTTCCTTTGCAGCGATGTTTCCTCGTCATCGCTGTCATCATGCTCGCTGCTGCATGCCTCGCTGTCCTGCCAATAAACAAGAAAGATTGATGGAGGGTAGGGTTTGACACTCGCGCGCTGCTTCTTGCCTGCGCCTCGCTCTCGGAAGCTGAAGACGCTGAAGCAGATTGGCTGTCCTCCTCGCAGAGGCAAACGCGAAAATGATTTTGTTTTGAAACAAGTGCGAGGAAGGTCCTGGTTGATGACCATCATCGCACTCAGAATGGAGTTGGCCTCATCCTCACTCATTTGCTTCACAGGCTTGGCCTTCGGCTTTTTCTGGCCTGGAGCGTTCTCGGCCTGGATCTCAGTGACTACCGGGGTCATGTCGAAGGAAAGCTTTCTCTTGATGGGCTTGGATTTGACATCCTTCAGCAAACTGGACGGGCTGGTTGTGGAAGCCGTGGCAGGAGAAGGCTTTTCCAGCAGGTTCAACTTGCTTTCGGCCCTTTTGAGCCGCTTTGGGTTGGGGCTCTTGGAAGTCCTTGGGTCTGGGGTCTTTCCCCTCATCCGGACTATGGTCGGCTCGGTTGGCATTTGAGCTACCAATACCCTTGAAGGCAAACTAGATTGCAGTGCAGAGTTGAAATGTGATAGCAACGCTCAATCTCGCGCGCGGCCTCAAGAAACCCTCGTTTAAAGAGACATTTTTTCAACACCGAGCAGCACCCGTTTGGATCAATCTAGCACTGCCCAGCCCCAGCACTACCCATAAGACGGGCCACAGGCTGAAATCCAGAACCCATGAAATTTCACGGTTTTTCACGGGGTTTTCACGGTTTTTTCACGGTTTCACGGGTAGTGCTGGCAGGGGCAAATTTCATTGAAACTTGGCAAAAACCCTGAAGCAGTGCAGCAAAATGCCAATTTAATTGCCCTGAAGGAGCGCAGCAGCAAGCCTATCTACTTGGCCACCCTGGCAATTGTTCAAGCTTGATGCGCACGCTGAAGCAACGCAGCAACATGTATCTAATTACCCGCCGCGTCAGACAACGCAGCGATAACCGGCCGAAGATTTGCCATCTTGGCCCACCCAGGATCCTGGCACGCGCCAAAGAAACTGAAAGCCCGAAAAAATACCCGCGAATCCCGAAACTGCGAAACCCATCCCTTCACCCGTGAACCCGTGAAACCCAAACCCGTGAACCCGTGAACCCGTGAAACCCAAACCCGTGAACCCGTGAAACCCGTGAATTCAATCCCGTGAGCCCGTGAACCCGTGAAACCCGTGAAACCCAAACCCGTGAACCCGTGAATCCGTGAAACCCGTGAATCCGTGAAACCCGTGACCCGTGAACCCGTGAAACCCAAACCCGTGAACCCGTAAACCCGTGAAACCCAAACCCGTGAATCCGTGAAGCCGTGAAACCCGTGAAGCTCAAACCCGTGAACCCGTGAAACCCAGACCCGTGAACCCGTGAACCCGTGAAACCCGTGAAGCTCAAACCCGTGAACCCGTGAAGCTCAAACCCGTGAACCCGTGAAACCCGAACCCGTGAACCCGCGAACCCGTGAAACCCAAACCCGTGAACCCGTGAAACCCAAACCGACAAAGACTCCAACAGTTTTTGTCTCGAAAAAGCCCCAAGCAACACCCCAAGCATCACCCACAGCATCACCAGCAACACCACTAGCATCACCAGCAACGCTTTCAAGACAAAAACTCCAACAGTTTTTGTCTTGAAACATCCCTCAGTAACACCCCCAGCATCACCAGCAACGCTGAAAAAGCCCCCAGCAACACCCCCAGCATCACCACTAGCATCACCAGCAACGCTTTCAAGACAAAAACTCCAACAGTTTTTGTCTTGAAAAATCCACCAGCAACACCCCCAGCATCACCAGCAACGCTGAAAAAGCCCCCAGCAACACCCCCAGCATCACCAGCAACACCGCTAGCGTCACCAGCAACGCTTTCAAGACAAAAACTCCTGAAAAACCCGTGAAACCCAAACGCGCGAATTCCTGTGAAACCCAAACCCGTGAACTCGTGAAACCCAAGCCCGGGAATCCCGTGAGCCCAAGAAACCCGTGAAACCCAAACCCGTGAACCCGTGAAACCCGTGAACCCGCGAAACCTGTGAATCCCGCGAAACCCGTGAAACCCGTGAAGCCCAACCCCGCCATGAAACCCGCGAAGCGAAACCCGTGAACCCTTTCGAGGCCAGGGTCCTGCGCCTCCTTTGCAGCTGGGCTCTCCAGGAGTTGGCGCCTTTGTCGCTCGCGCCCCCAAAGCATTTTTGGTTTCGCTGCACGCGCCTCCTTTCCCTGACGGTTCGTGCGATCATGTCCTACACAATTTGCAAAGGGTGGTAGGTCAGAGTCGAAATGCGCGCGCGCAGCTGAAGGGTCCTGATTGCCGATCACATTTTCTGCGATCGCTCTCCCGAAAAGGGGCGGATAGTGTTGGCTCTCTTTGAGCTGAGAACCCCCCTGAACTCGCCGAACGCCAGCAGCGTTTGTATACCTTGGGTCGCGGCAGGACTTGGAGCAAGCTCTTTCTGGACTCACGCGTGGGCCCTGGCTTGACGCTCATCTCAGCAGAATAGTGTTGTTCAGAACTCAAGGGCAAATAGAGATTGTGAATCAGCTCCCTGTAATTGGAGTACAGGACTGTGGGTTTTGGACCTTGGATGCTTGCATGGACCCATGGCGTATTTTGAGTCAGCCGTGGCAAGGTAAAGCTCACCCGGAAAGCCGTTTTCACATGTGCTGCAAAGCTTCTGTGGCCCCCGTAAGGGCCGAGCCAAATATGCACCTTAATGGGCGTAACTAGGAATCGCAACGCGTTGGTATCCACATTCAA